TTCTCAACAATATCTAGGAGCTTTTGGACTCTTTTGCGAGTATACCACAAATGATCCCACAAATAATCATTTCACCACCCCCTCCATCCAACCAATCTATTAATACATTTCTTCATCATAATAAAGTCAAAAACACCCTGTCAGTTTCCAAACCAGCCCACACCCTAACTTATACCCTGCACTTTAACTTCTGAAGTATCTTCTGGTCAATACTTTTCTAAATTATTTCAGACCTTTCAACTCGCTCAACACTCAAAATCTATCTCAACAAAATCCCTGATCTGAAGACTCCTGAATACTCAAATAGGCTAGTAAAAATTCACTACAGCAGATTCATCACCGAATGCAACACACTTATAGCAACAAAAAATATTAACATTTCTTGGTACAAACTAAAAGACCTCCAGCCACCACCTGTAACTCTTCCTACTATTAACTTACCAATCCTCCAATGCTTTCCACTTACATTTACATCTTTACTTCTAATCAATAATACTCACTCTACAAGCGCCATCCACTGGATTAAATTTATAAACTACTACAGCAACCTATTTGATATATTTCTTAGCCAATCTGCAACTTACAAACCCTTAACTTTTGAGGAATTGGTAACAATTATTAGAGCAAACAACAAACTCAAATCACTTGATCAAATAAAATACAGGGCATTATTAATATTTAGAACAAAGCTTCTCGCAAATCAACTACTAACTAGAACTAAACTCCACAAACGCTACCCTAGTCTTTACCCTGACAACCTGTGCCCAAGATGCAATGCATACCCCAAAAACCTATCACACATTTTCTCTTGCATTCATAACAAGACTCTAATCAATAAAAAGAAAACCAAACTTGAAAAATTAATTCTAGAACTCAATCCTAAAAATGTCAAAATTATCGATTTCGTTGATATATTCAAGCTAACAGACAATAGCTTATTAAATCTAGCGATTGGCAAATTCAACCACCCATTTAATCTCTTCCAGAAAAAAGAAAATATTTCTAACTATACTCTCAAAATCTTATACAAGGCTTGAAAGGCATGCTCAGCCTCAGCAACCACATCACCAGCATCCAGAATAAAATGAAAAAAAACTTCTACCACTAAATTACCAAACACAGGTGCAAACAACAACTCAACATTCAATACAATTTTAAATTTATTAATTTCATCACACAACTATACCGACAAATCAATTTTCATCCCAGCAGTAATATAATTGTTCTGAATAGGCATTAGCCATTCAGCACTATTGTTGCGAGTCCACTCCTATAGTGGTACCTGGTTTCAATAGTTTTGTTGTGATAGGCTACAATTAATTTACTATATAAAGATTGTTAATGTAATGACAATAAATATTTTTATTTAAATAAAGTCTCACATTTAATGCTCGTTCGCGATAAAAAAAAAAAACAAAATAATTTTCAATCTACTTTAAATAAAAATTAACAAATTTATAAAATTAGCCTATAAGATCTTATCTAAATGCTCTAATATAATTTTAGCCAGTTACAATGGTCTCAATCTAATAATATTAAAAAAAAATAAAGAATCGTATTAATAGAAAACCTCATCTTCAAACTTTCTATTTCTTCTATTAGAAAATACATAGCACAAGACATTTGATATATCCAAAATAAAAAAGCTATTTGGTTCTGCCCATATATAATTTAAAGAAATTCAACTAATTGACTTTTTATTTATTAATATGTAACTTCAACTCAAAAAACAGTCATTAATATAACAAATGCTCTCAATATAAGATTCATTAATAAACTTTTAAAATATAACAATATTATTAAACTTTTCTGATCACAACTTGTTATGTATACAAAAATAATTTGCTTGAGTTTAAAGTTCAATTGGTTTAAAATATTTACAAATACCAGAAACCTGTTCAGAACCCATTATTCAATATCAAACTTTAAAATGACATTTTAAATTTTCACAGTATTAATACAATAGTCAAAACTTGTAAAAATATATTTTTATAAATAAAAAATTATTATTTAAAGAAAAATATTTTATTGTCAATTTTGATAACAATTTCTTTAGATACCTAGGTTATCCAATTTGTATATCTTTTTATAGCTTCTGCTGGATACTATTTATTAGCATTTGTTTTAACACTATAGATTTTCTTCAATTCTTTCAACAAATTCAAATATTATTTACTTAATATAATTGATAAAGTTGTCAACTTATTACAAGATGATAAATACTATACATGTGTTCATATTTAATTCAAACATTTTTTAAAAACCATATTATATTCATATTATCAAGTAACAATTAGTAAATAATTGGAAATCGTATTTAATTCAGAATCATATTTTTGATCAAATTTCCTTTTATGGTAATAAGAAAACATGTATAGTAAATACATTCTTCAAAAAATCAATATCTTTCTTAACTTTTTTTCTCAAATGCTATTACAAAATGTTGATTTGTAACAATACTATTATATTTAATTTTATAAAATCAATCTATTTATAAATAATATCAAACTAAAATCAATTAATTTCTGCCTTCTACCAGGCAATATTTTACTGACAATTCTGAATATTATTCAATAGATTTCTTATCATTTCATTATTAAAATTAAAAACAACAAAAAAATTTTTTAATCAATATTTGAGTATCTAAGAAAATAGTTAAAATTAACTTTTTTCTATTAATTCAGAGAATAAATCAGTGTATACAACAAAAGTTTATAGGAATTGTATATATCAAACTCAAATTTAAATCAGTATTAACTAAATCTATTCAATAGAACAACCCTTTACTATATTTTCTTGAAAATCTTCTAATTAATAGTACTTGTTTGAACAGTTGCATTAGATAATGTAAGAAAATCTTTAGTATTATTAAAGATTATATTATCTGTAAAAGCTTTTTTGTTACTTAAACTTTTGAACAAGTATATACTTCATATAACTTAAAGTTATTAATTAATTAAATAAAAATATCTTAAAACTTTGTAATAATAAATTCAGTACTTTGGTTATATTCAAAATCAAACTATTTTCCAGTATTCTTTTTACTTGTTATATACTTTATTAATTTTATTCCAGCCAGTATCCAAATGTCCTTTATTCAAGATATGAATTTCATATTAAAGACATTTATCATATCTTCAAATGTATTGAGACCTTATAAGTAAGTATGGTTTTGAAAATTGGAATTGAACAGAATCGCAAGGAATCATATAAGGTTCAGAACACTATTAAAAATGATGGTAGAGTATACCTTACCTATTAAATTTAATATAAACTTGAAAATCAAATACAGAATTGAAGAGAATTGTTAGGATTTTTATAAGTAACCAATCAAATTATCAATCACAGACCAATTTTATAGATATAGTTACTTATCAAACTGTCATAAAATAATGGACAAAATTTTTTCTACCTTAGTTTTTACCAATTGAATCAAGACAAATCAGTTAACAGAAGTAAACTGATTATAGTTTTTTGATAAGAAAATTTTTTGAGTGAAGATTTTTGGTTTTTGGTGGTGCAGAAAAATGTATTAAGCAATAGTAAAAAATAAGTATTGAATATATTGTTAATCTCCCAAGTTAACAATATAGACAGTTTTGATGTAAAGTTTGATTTTTGAATTAAAATAAAATTCTTCAAGCAAAAAATATAATTATTTGAAAAGGTTTGTATATTAAAAATATATATATATAAATAATCTCAAAAAAGATTTGTAAAGAAGTAATTGTTATAGGCCTTTTTTCATGTAATCCAAAGAAAAGATAAAGCTTTCAAACTTGTTTTCCTTTGATCAAAGATTTTATTTCAATATACCAGTATACTTTTTTAATTCTTTGAGGCTCTTGTAGTATAAAAAAGAAAGTGTGAAGGATTTTTAGATATTGAAAAACAAAAAAAAGTGTATAGAAAAGAGTTTTTTTTTTAGTATTATTATTATATTATTGTTGTTATTGTTATTACTTATAAAAGAAATAAAAAAGTTATATCTTTACTTTAAGATATAAGTTACAATAATAATTATAATATTTCAAAAAAAATAATTAATTAATACAAATAATTAAAATTATTTATTAGAATAAAAAAACGTATTAATTTTTTAATATTTCTGTAAATACTGTACGTATAATGTAATGATATGAAGTTTTAAAGTGTAAATGATAATTGTTTATGATTATGAATTTGGTTATTTTTCATTTTTGTAACTTCAATTTCATATTTTAATTTACTGTATATTACATGGATTATAAATGAAAAATATTTAATTTTGAAATTATTATTTTACGATCGAAAATTATTGATTTCTTTTCAAAAATCATTACCCGTTTATTTAAATACAGCGTATTGTTTAATATGTTAAAATTTATTGTATAAAGTTATAAAACTTGAAATCTTCCATCAAAATATTTAACAATTTTTATATACAGTATATATTTTTATTTAATGAATATATTTATATTTTGAAAATGCGAATTGGATTTTTATCATTAAATTGTTTTGGAAATATAATTGCATACTGTATTTTATCACTAAATAAATAAATTGGCAAAAATGGTACTGTAATATGCAAAAGTATACTGTATTATTAATGTATTGACTTATAATCATGTGATAGAAGTTTGTGAGCAAGAAATCCCCTCAAAAACAACTTTATAATAGAATAATATAAGAATTGCGCAATACAAATATAAACTAGTGTGACATTATTCAGTGGCTACAGTAACAATAAAAAATTGAACACGAACATTTCGATATACCAATAACTTTTATAACATAATATACAGTATTTGAAAATCACATGATATTATTGTTGCACTCGATAATTAAATTTGGCCTAAATTACAGAATTTCACATAATTCAAATTTCCCTTTTGTTATCTGCCCAGTAAATATCTATCAACAAAAAATAAATTACAAATGCATATAATAATAACAATAAAAATGTAAGAACAAAATATTTGGATTTCTTGAGTCCTTGCTTTCTGTTTGGTAGATTCACATCACGACAATTCGGGTTCTCTGTAGATATTGATGTTCAATTGAATAATCAAAAAAAAAAAAAGTTATAAGCACTACTTTACAACACGCACCGTTTTCTTCAAGAATCCTCAAGGCTATTGAATTATAATTGTTTTCTGGATTTGATTCCTTGGGCGCTAAAAGAAAATGGAAAGTAATTTATTTAAGTCGTTTAATCATCGCTTTGTTACTGATGTTGACAATGAACCAATAAATGAAGAAACTTACAATATGTGTCGGAGACGTCTAACGTTACTTCTTTGAAGTTTTTTTCTTTTATTGTAAAAAGGCTTTAGTAAAGTTTGTCCAGCTACGAGTTTTAAGATAAGATCAGTTACCATTTTCATATGCTGTTTGTTCATCAACTACTTCTGACTGTCCAGTATAGTCCTTCAAATTTAAGTCTTTGTAGAGAATAACCTTTGCCACGTAAATACCATTTTCCAGCTAACGCATACAGAATACAGACGTTTAAATATACTTTACCTTTTGATTTGTATAGGCATCATTTAGTGAAGGTCAATATGATTTTAAAAATACATTTAATTATTCCAACTTACCTTTTTTTTCATGTTATTTGTATTAGTAATGTAAGTGCCAGTTATAGAAATCATGAGAAATGATATTATTACTATTTTGATCGAATCTTAATCCAATGAAAGGATAGTAAAGATTACCTTGCGGCAAAACAAGATCAAGCTGTAAACTATGATAATCTTTTATTTGAATAAAATTAGTAAATAATGTTAAGCATAAGTGAAATGAATCGAATAAATTTGTATACAGTACCTTCGTGTTCTCCTGCAAATTAATTGGGTAAAAATTTTACTTAGAAATGTATAACCTCAGATTAAATATTAATTGATTGACTTTACCTTCACTTGCATTTCTGAGTTCATCGAGGACTTGAAATGGATGTAGTTTACTGGTGTAATCATTCATTGAACCATCAATTATTTTAACATCATCTGAGATTGATTCTTCATCGGTGGTAGTCATGAACTCAACTTCCACCAGCTTATTTTGATACATTGATCGCAAACTCGAATCGACTTCTGAAAAAATTTCAGCTAAACTTGGTCGATTTTCTGGAACGGTATCCCAGCATCTCTTCATCAAGTCTGCATACCATTTGGGTGTTTCCTTTATAATAATTGGTCGTTTCCCTTGCACGACATCAGTAGCAAGGGCTACGTCATGCTTTCGATCGTAAAATGGTGGCTTTCCGGTTGATATTTCCCACATCAGCATTCCCAGACTATAAACATCCGAATTTTTTGTATACGATTTGCCGCATAACACTTCCGGTGCAACGTATGGAAGATTTCCGTAAATGCCAGAGAAACCTCTATCAATCGGACCACAGAATCCTAGATCAGCGATGTACCAGATGAGGTTAATAGAATTGTATAATATATTTCCCGAATGCAAATCCCTATGAATTATATCTAAGCGATGAACGTTATTAAGAGAATAAGTTATCTCATAAAGGATTTTGACTTTTTGTGGCCAGGTGAGATTTGAAATATTCTGCGTCAGAAATTCTCGTAAGTTACAGCTCATGTGACTTAACACGAGCATGTAATTATTAGTTGTTGGATCTCTGGTCAAACCATAACATTTGACTACATTGAGATTTGTCTTGGTTACGCATTCGAGGTGTGCTTTTGTCTACATACAGTACGTATGTAATGACGATCATGAGATAAAAATATAATTTATTTCCAATTACGATTATACACACGTGAATAAAATGCATTATTACCTCCTCGAACCACTTTGACTTTGGATTTTCGGAATTATCTAATTGCTTAAGAATCACATTCATTGAGCCACGTCTCTCAAGTTTTTGATTCTCGGAATCCCATTTATCATAACGACCGTCTTCCCAGTTGGCCTCGAAAATAGATGCATAGCCTCCTCTTGTCTTGTACTCGATATTTTTGAATCTGTCAAACGGTATCCATTCAACTATTCTACTCGGTATAGTTAGTAGATTTTGACAATCCTGGATTATCATATCGATCTTTTCGTTTCCTGAAGTCCAATTAGAAAATTCTTTGGCTAAATAATTTCGAATACAGTTCTCACAGTATTGAACTGCGTGTGCCCAATTTCCACAATGCTCGCATTTTCTTTTCTTTCCTGCCTGTGCCAAAACGCAATAACCATCAATATCTCTTTGCAGGCGTTCCACCATGTACGTTTTCTCTACTTGAGTGAGCGTTTCATTCTCATCAATTATTTTGTTCATAAATTCCCATATCCTTTCGGTTGATTGGAGAATACATGGCTCCATAAGAACGAATCCTCTGCTATATAAAGAATTGACAAGTTCATAACGTATTTCTCCCATGATAAAATTTTTCTCAAAAAGAAATAACTGTGAAGGGAGGTTGATGATGCGATGTTATAAGAATTTGAATTTCTTGCAAAAAATTAAGTATTTTCCTTAAATGGAAAACATTATTGTTGACCATAGTAAGTTCATTGTTAATAATTAGATGGTATACATCCACCGTGGGATGAACAAATTAAATATTAAAGTTAGGTTCTGTACATTGATAATGGTGAGATTAAATGCCTAAATAGAGAGCTTGAATTTGAGAACGAATTACCGTTTTAAAACTTTTTAAATGCTGTATATTTTCATACCTTTATATTTAAACCAACAAATAATGCTCCCCAAACTTCAAAGATATAAAATTTTTGTTAAATTATAGTTTCTCGTCTTAATGTTTACAGTATATGCTTTAAATTTTAGTATGATTGCCTTTGAACTTTTAACGATCTCTACTCTGAGAACGTGTTAACACATCATTTTTTTTGTTATCAAAATGTATGCACGGCTATTTGTACCAACAAGCTATGCTATTTTGATATGTATCATTATTCTTCTTATTTGGTATAGTTGTGTCTAATCTTTTTATGTATGGTTAAAACGAATTTCGTTATTCGTTCACAAAGTATCGTTATAAACAAATACTGTAGCATATGATAAATCTCAGAACTTTCAAAATTATCGAATACCGTAGTATAAACCTTGTAAAATAACAAAAGATGTTATTTAAGCATGGCTAATCAGACATTTCCATCTATTTGGCTCTTATTGGGTTCATTGTTGTTTATCGGGGTGTATGTGCCATTGCGTGAATTAGGTTTCGCGATAGAGATCGGTACATCGATCTTCTGTTTTTGTAAAATAATACTTTGCTGTTCGAATTAATGTCCCGCGAACGTGTTCAAATCTTCGTAGTGTGCTATTATGTATCGTCATACTATTTATATTATCTTTATCTATAACCAATTAAAATTACCAGTATTGTCGGTTTTTTTTTTTTTTTAACAATTTGAAATTAAAAAATTTATATAATTTTTCACAATTAATACATTCTATTTTTCTATATTAAATTTCATTAAAATAGAATGCTTATATTTTTGTTTTACACGATTTATTGTTCATTTGTTTATGGTTTAAATTTCAATTATTTTTACTTTATATTTTACTTTCATATTTTTCCATTTTTTCTTTAAATAGATAATATAGCTGCCATTTAACTATTTTAAACATATTAATATTGTTTTAAATTTATTTTAATATTAGTTAGATATAGACTATATAGGTAATCTAGTATTTAACTCAATGCTAATACATATAAAAGATGATGTTTCTTTTACAAATATATCATATACTGTATATACTGTATATAATATAATAAAAAATAATGTTTTTATAACTTATTGCAATATCAATTACTGTAATAATATCAAATATATATTATATGAGTGGATTAATACTATTAATATTAAACAATCAATACTTGTATAACAATAATATAATTATTGAAATAAACATAAAAATTTATTAATAAATTAATAATTCATATTGTAAGAGGGACCAAAAAAATTAGATAGATTCAACATATGTCATCCTCGCCCAATTGGGGTTTAATTGGGGC